TTGGAATAGTTCACTAATTTTGTTTCAGAAACTAATAAATCTCTCTAGAGAAACAGAATTTTCTACTATTCCACACCTTAACCCTTTAAATACACACACCTTTGTTATTTTGTACTCCAGGGCCACCATATGCTTTCCCCTGGGAGGGGGTTCTTGCAGCTGGTAGTAGCATATTTTGTGGTCACTGTCACGTGGACATTTACTCTAGTTCCCTTGAAAAAGTACTGTGGCCTTATATGTATGGAAGGCACATACCACCAAGTTCAGTGAGAAATGTTAGAGCTAAACATACTCTCTGCTTTCTGCACATTTAAGGAACATGTTAGCCATTTCCTTCCCATGCTTTCTGTTTGCTGCTTTTACTCCAGAACTTACTTTTAGCAGGGAAAGCAGCTGTCCTCACAGTGCTTTGGACCAGGCACAAGACCCAGTGCAGTCTCTTCTCCCCAAGAGGCTCTACGACATATTTCTGATGCTGCTTTAAGTTTTTAGAGGCTATACCTCAAATTAGTTGTGGATTTTGTCTCTGCACTGCCAGTATGCAACTGATCCTGCTTTTATTAATTTTATGAAGTACACAGAATTTTTATAGAATGTAGTATTTTGATATCATTAAATCAATCAGAAAACTCCTTGAGCAATAGTTTTTTGTTGTCAGTTTAAGTTAAGATTATCTTTACCCACTGACTTATATTAACATTCCTTTTATATATAAATAGTTGTATGTGTCCACCTAAATTCCTAGGTCTGTATTTAGCCTTTAAAGATGCACATTGGGAGAATATTAAAAGTTAAAGAGTTTATGGCTAAGAATATGTAAAGTGTAAAAGCACAGCAAACTGCATTGCACTTAAAACAAAGCAAATTAGGAAAAAGCACTTTTCTAAATGCTCAAATGTTATCAAAATATTATATTTATAGAAATAATCCACTATTAACAGCCAAGATTTGCTATTAGAAGTAACTCTGGTGAGTTTTATATTGTTCTTTTGGGGGGTTCTGATCCTTTTGGCAGTAGTGTCTTTTAAAAAGCAGTATTACACAAGCAGTTTGCTTCAAGATGTGAATTAACTTGTTGAAATTGTGGCTTTAACACTATGTGATTAGTGTGTATGGTATTTGCTCTCCTTTTGCAGAATAACTCATTGTTAGGTTAACTTCCCTAGTGCCAATTACAGTTCTGTGAGCAATGTTTCCTATTGAGTATAAACTACTGTCTAAAATACACATATCAGCAGCAGCTCAACCTTTGTCAGGAAAATTATATTTGGCAAGTTGCTGAAAATGCACAAAAAAAGTTAAAGGTATGCTGCAAATAATTAGCCATTATTCTGTGTATTGTTAAATATTTACCAGTTCTGTTCAAAGCAGAAAAGAAATTAGACACTAAGGATCTCTTTGTGAATTTTTTGTCCTTGGGAGTAGATTGCTGTTTATATGTATGTAAGAATTTTATTGCTTATGTGGCATATAATATTTATAACTATATACTTTATAGAAGTACAGTATTAAAATCAGTGGTATACAGATACTCTGTACATATCCTGTGAAATGTGCTGTCATATGAAATAAATACTCCTGTCTTGACCATGTTGACTACTTTGCTCAGAAGAGAAGAATTTTTCTCAGTCATTTTCCTTGTGCTTTCCATATACAAGTTCAGTTGTATTCAGGGAAAATAAGTTAGTCCCTATTGCCAAATCAAATACTTTAACTCAAAACCTTAACTCATATAATCATTTCTCTGTATAATGTCTACTGTAAGAAGACACTTTTTCTAGGATTAATCATTGTCCATAAGAAGCCTATGGACTTACTCCATAAGGGGCCCTTCATTAGAAATCTTGTTAGCAGGGCTGGGGATTTAGCTCAGCGGCATAAACACCTGCCTTGCTAGCAGGCGGTCGTGAGTTCGATCCCTGGTACTGATAAAAATGAAAAAGACAAAAAAAAAAAAAAAAAGAAATCTTGTTAGCCTGAAAAAAATGAATGAATGATGGTTTTCTGACCCACAGCAGAAAAACTAGCTGGGAGGCCAAGGGGAATTCAGAATTATCAGACCTAGCCAAGCATGGTGCTGTCTGCCTGTTATCCTAGCATTCAGGGAGGCTGAGGCAGGAGGGTTGAAAGCTTGAGTCCTACCCAGACAACTTAGACCATGTCTCATAATTTAGAAAAAGTTGGCAGGGGCAGGAGTGCTGAGGATGAAACTCCGTAGTAGATGCAGGAAAAATAACCTGTTAGATGTCAGATGTCCCATGAAGGAATCCAACTACCACCATCCTGATCCAAGACCCCACTGAACTGCCCCTTCCAGCACAGCTGCATCTGGGGACTCGACATTCCAACCCTGCCACTGATAAAGCCCCATTCTTGGGTAGCTGTCACTGCTGTGCTCTTTGAAGCCTTGTTCTTGGCAGAAGCCACAACCCCCTCTCACCAGACTCCCCCTCCTCATGAGCCTACAGAAGACTATAGCCTGCAGGAGAGTTGTTGGTCTGGTCTCTAGTGTCACAGCTGTCTCTGTCCCTCAGCTTTGTTCTGAAATAAACCTGTCCAGTTGAGCTCATACCTCTGTTTCTTTTCTGTTTTCCTAACATCTTGAGTTCATGATCTCACAGCACTGAGGAATGAAGTTACAAACTAAAGGAGGAAGCTATGACAGTTTATTATGGAGAGTTTATTATGAGAGTTTATTAAGGAGAACAGCTTCTGGGTCCCAAGTGGGTGTCTACCAAGATCCTTTGTCAGGTAATTTACACAGCCAAATTGCAATTTGAGTATAATGTAGGTCAGACTACAGTCAACCTATGAGTTTATGAGTATAGTAAAAGCATGTTTTGCAAGCATAATTCATCCTGTAAACATGCTCATAATCTAAAGCACTTGTATATCAAAGCAAATTTCCCTGTAAGAAATAATGGAAACTCAGGTGATTTGCTCCACAACCCAAAAATATTCATATAAAAATGATGACAGTACTGTAATATAATACAAAATAAAATACAACATATAAAGAAAAATATTCTGTACTTACCTTTTGAAGATCTTCATGGCTAATATGAGGGAGATGAGAAGATTTTTACTGAGTAGGATGACTTTCAGTCTCACTAAGGGATTCACTGGTATCTGTTGGCTCGATTGAATCTTTTTAGTGCAACTTTAATAAGGAACCTATTAATGATACTTGCTTTGTCTCCTTTTGAAGATTTCACAGAAATGTGACATTGCCTTGTCATTAAGCAGATTTCATTGCTTAGGTGGTGCTTTTTGATTGAGCTGAAACTTTGTACTCAATCTAGAGCAGCACAGAATATTAGGAGAGGAGGCAACTAGATAAGAAAGAGTTTAATGAGGGCACAGAGGAAGTCACCACAAAGAAGGCTGTGGTGGCTCCTTGCAGACAAAGGGCAGGTTCTGCCTTATAAAGGCTCTGACGGGAGAAGGGCTCTGGGGACTGATGTGAGCTGGTTTATTTTCTGAGACTGTAGGGGATTAGGTCAGTCTTTACACACATGAGCTTTGGCACAGACTTTTGGGAAGAAGAAGCCATAGGGGCTTCTGGGAAGAAGGAGTTATGCCTTTGAACTGTCACCATGATTGTGCTCTCAGATGGGGGATCCATCATTTTCTACAAAATTTTGCTGTTTCTAAAACTTTTCATATCACCCTAATTTCATTTGAAGGGAGGGGTTCCTCCACTGTTTTCACGTCCTCTGCTAACCAGATCTCCTCCATCACCTCTTGCTGTTGGAGATGGTGGCCCACAATCCCACCCTGGCTTAGTTGTGACCACATGATGTTTGGCATCACACACCACTAGTATTGTAAGACATCACTTGTTTATCAAGTTATTAGAAATGTTTGTCTTATGGAAAACTCACAATCCAAGGTTTTACTGTGTAGTTGCTTAACCAATGTTGAGTCACATAGTAGGAGTGTATGGAAAGAACAAAAGCATTCCTGGAAAGGGACGGATCCAGATGTTCAGATCCACATATGTGCCTGATGCCTTTCCTGGCCCACTGGACCAGGTGCTGTTAACTACACTATAATCTCAGGTTGCTGCTCTCTCTAGGGAAGCATGCAGGTCTGCCTATTGCATAGCCATCTTGAGGCCTGGCTTTCTCTAAGAGAAGACTCAACTCCATCCTCAATCTTTGTGTGTCCAGTCTTCTTTGCTTTCTTGAGTGTCCAAACCCTCTCAACTGCGTATTAATTTCTATCTAACTTAGCTGGCTCTAATAGCACCACCAAAAAAGAATTATCTAGACATGGAAGGTCGCCATTGATGGATTGCTTGAACAAGTGGATGCAAATGGTCCTAAAATGCTCTAGAAAGGCAAGCACCTAAAATACTGATAGAAAACTAAACAAAAGGCATAACAACACACCAGATGTTATCTGTGTGGCCTTGGAATTCAGAACCCACTTGGCTAGCAGTATTTGCTACGCTGTAGCCCAGGCTCTGGGTGTTCTGAGAGACTTGGCCTTGTCATGGCCTAAACTCTCCAGGTGTTGCTCAAACTATTCAAGTTCTATATATTTTGCAGTAGTTTAGGTCAGTCACATGGGGGAAGTCTAAGAAGGTTTGTGTAACATCTGTAGCTTTATAGTTCAGGCTGTCTTCGAACTGGCTGCGACCCTCCTGCCTTGACCTCCCAAGTGCTGGGAAGAGTGTGTGCCCACCAGGGCTGGCCTATTTCTGTTTCCTTTGTTACAATGAGAGCTACGCTGGACCCTGCTTTACCCTTTGATTAAGAATCTGTGGGGAAATGCCTTGCTTAAGACTTTGGGAAGGGTTGCTTTGGCAGCAGCTACTTGGGCTACCCTAAATGTGCGAATCTGATTCTGCCTGCACAAATAAGCACTGGCATCCCTCACCCCTGGATACTGAAAACCAGACCAGCGAATAGTGCACTAGCCGTGCTCTCCAGCTCCAAAGTTCCCCAGACCGGAAGAAGGGGGAGCTATTTCCGGAAGTGGGACCCTGAGCAGCGGAAGCTACGGTTAGGCTCTGTAGTTGCTGTGAGTAGAGGCTGCTGCCGAATTTGGGTCGTTTGCTTCCATTTATTCCTGACCTAGCGTTGCCCTGACAACAGCTACTTCCGGGAGCGGCCCTGTGCGACCCTTCCGGGTGTGGGCTGTTGCTAAGGCAGCAGTTACGCGTTGGTATGGACGGCCCACCCTTGGATTAGGAGCTGGGCTGGAAGCCCTTCTGACTGTTTAACTGTTGTCCTGGCAACCGCCACTTCCGGGAGCGAGTGCAGTTTCCCACCCCCAGCTCCGCGGTGGCGGAGCTCCAGGTTCCGGCCTGTAAGCTCTGCAGCTGGTCGGTCGCCGCTGTTCTCGGCGGGGCGGGCCGAGCGGATCGTGTTGTGGACGGGAACTGCGGAGCAGCCATGGTTCTGCTACACGTGAAGCGGGGCGACGAGAGCCAGTTCCTGCTGCAGGCGCCGGGTAGCACCGAGCTGGAGGAGCTCACGGTGCAGGTGACCCGAGTCTACAATGGGCGGCTCAAGGTGCAGCGGCTGTGCTCAGGTGCGGCTGAGGGGTTCGAAGACACCGGGCGATCTGGGCTGCAAATCGGGCGGGATCGACGAGGGCCGAGGTGTCGTGTTGAAAGTTTGAAAAGACTAACAGCGGCTAAGGGTGGAACCGGACCCTAGGTCTAACAGGGATTTCTACAAATTGAAAAAGTAGAGGCGGATCTGGCACCCCTAGCTCTAAGGCGGACAGCGAGTGAGGCGGAGAGTGACCAACTTTCCGAAGCCAGGATCTGGGGTGCTGTAAGTGGGAGTAGGAGGAAGCCAAAAGATTGGGCCAGGGAGCACACGTAGTGGACTCAACCAAGTGTGTGCGGGGGTGGAGGGTGATACCTGGGTGGGTTAGCAAAGGGTGAGTGAAGGTCTGTCCTATTCCTGAGACCTCTACGGTAAACCACCCTCCGGTGGTGAGGCCCCTGCCTTTGGAAAGGCCTTCAAAAGTGAGAGGCCTGTGAAAAGGCCTTGGCGTCCTTTTCCTTCGCCTTGGTTACACAAGCCCTTTGCTCCTGTTCCAGAGTTGAATCGCCCATCTCTAAATACTCCCTAGAGCATCGCCGTAGAATGGACGTGTTCAGTCAGTATCCACTAGGCACATGTAGCTGCTGGGCATTTGAAATGTGGCTCTTGCCACCCAGGAGTTGAATTTGTAGTTTTATTTTGTTTTAATTAAATTTAAAAAGATACATGTGAATAGTAACTGCGACATTTGACAGCTCAGCTCTGGAACTTAACGTTATTGTCTAGGTGTAGACTAGGCTATTAGTAGTATTAGGTGCTTCTATAACTATATAATCACTGTATAATTTGTGTGTATGAGTTTTCAGTGTACACTATGTCAATTATATGATTAGCTTTGTATGAATTTTCTGATTCACAGTACTTTTGGTCTGTTGGAATTAATTTTTAAAAATTTTGGGCTGGGGATATAGCTTAGTGGTGTAAGCACCTGCCTGGCAAGTGTGAGGTCCTGAGTTCGATTCCCAGTAAGCCCCCCAAAAAATAAAGTAAAAAATTTTTATTAGTACATATTTAAAATACCTACATCATTGTGGAAGTTACAAATAACAAATCTATTAAAGTATGTAAATATGTGGTATTTATACCTCTTAAGGGTCATAGTCTGTTCATGAAATGTGACTATTTCATAAATAATTTACATAAAGTCAAAAACAAGACAGATGAAACAAGGGCCTTCATTTTCTAGTAGCACACTCATCCTTCAAATGCATGGCTTTATGCTTTTCCTAATCCATATATATTCACCCAAACCAGCCTACATGGAGACTTTGCAAAGCTGTTGGGTTTGATCTCTCCCCTTTCCCTCCCTGCCTCTCTTCCTCAAGGTGAAGCTGGCACTGTAAAGCCACAATGAGACCTGTAGATTGGTGGTGGGACTGAGTTAGATGCCTCTCGTGTCTCTCCGAGTTCACATTTTTAAGCAGCTGGGGACAGGGGGCACTCATTCAACCTTTCATTTCTACAGTCAGGGCCCAGGTGCCCGCCTGAACCAGCCAGGATCCCAGCAACTGCAGCAGAAATCCGTGCATTCTAAACTCACCAGCATCACTCTTCCCTTCAGCTCCATACTTTGAATCTACAGAATAGGTTGCTCAATTCATTTTTGCCTCGAATGCTTCCATTTTAAAATAACATTTCATATTGAGGCTGTTTCGGAAGCAGGAAGCAGTAAACTTAAGAAATTATACATAATTTGCCTTTCTTCCTCCCCACCGACTTATGTAAATTATTTATGAAGTCACATAAATTAAGTTTATGAAGTACTCACCTGTGTTAACTGTAACCTCATGCTCTGTGACCAAGCCTCAGATAACAGAATTGTCAGTTAAGGAAATGGGACTGTTGGTCACTGTCCCGCCTGCCTCCCTGAGGGTTACAGTAGACAAAATCACTCCTGTGAGGCCACTTGGAAACATTGTTTGAATATGTGTTTAGTTTTGGGGGTTAACTCAGCACCTCCTGAACTCCAAGCAGTGCTGCATAGCACAAAGGCTTAGATACAAAACAGACTCTGTCCCCAGACTGTGTGGCACAGGGGTGAGCTCCTAAGCTCTCCTGCTTCCCTTGATGGAGGGTGGACTGGGGACTTTGTCAAGGGTCAGAAGCAGATTTGACACACAGCTAGTGATGCGGAAGTGTTAAATAAAATACGGAGTGGAATGGGCCAGGCCCTTGACCGTTAGGAGCTTGATTCAGGTGGGTTCTAAGGTGTTGGTTGTGTTGCATATTATGTAACTTGCCCTTGTTTTTAAGAAATGGAAGAACTGGCAGAGCACGGCCTCTTTCTGCCTCCTAATATGCATGGACTGACTGATGAGCAGATCGAAGAGCTGAAATTAAAGGATGAATGGGGTGAAAGATGTGTGCCCAGTGGGGGTGCAGTATTTAAAAAGGATGACATTGGACGAAGGAATGGGCAAGGTAACCAACTTGTGTGCACACCTAAGTGTATCAATACTATGAAAGCAGTTCTTTAAGTTAAAAAACTAACTTCAGACTTTCTCTACAAACTTTCCAGAATGAATTAGGTTGATAAGAAACTTCTGCCTTCTTAGTTTAAGTTGTAGTGAGCATATAGGTGCATTAGGAGAACCATATGAAATTACCATATTTGTATTGTAGTTAGCTATCTGTAGATCAAAAATGCCTGAGAACTGGTGACTTTCTATGGCTTGATTTTTTAGGTTCGCCTCTCTCTGGTGCAAATTACTTTCATACATGATAGATCACTTAGCATACACATAACTGATGACATAATAAGCATCCAAATATCTACTGTGTCCCTAAACCATTGTCAGGAGTAGAAGAAATGTAAAACAGAATTACAATTTTATGGACTTTATGTGGTCAAAAAAGTATATGTTTTTTAAATATTGAAGGTAATAGGAATTACTACTATTATTTCCTTTGAATTTTAACCTAGAAAACGGTTGATTCTCTTCCACAGTTTTTTACACCAAACTTATTCTCAGTTTGAAGAGATTCTTTGCTCTTAGAAGGGACTACATTTTTTTTTTTTTTTTTTTTTTTTTTTGAGGCAGGGTTTCACTCCGCAGATTATGCTGGCCTTGAACTCACTTTGTAGCCTAGGCTGGCCTCAAATCCACTGTGATCCTCCTGCCTCAGCCTCCTTAGTGCTGGAATTACTGGCATGCACCACTGCTTATGGCTGGGATTGTATCAGTTTAAAAAACAGCTCTTAAAAATCAGCCATTCATTACTCATCTTTAAACCAGTGTTCTTAAATTTACCGTTTCTGTTCTAATATAATTTCAATATATAATTAATTCTATTGTTTATTAAGAATATATGGTTTGAATGTGTCTAATTTTCCCTAAATTTGAGAATGTTATCTCCATTGTTTTTGGTTCTAAATATCAAATTTTTCCCCTTGTCTAGGGATCAGGAAATTAATGGGTCATTGCCAAATGCAACCAGTTGTTTGTGTTTGTAAAGAAAGTTGTGTTGGAATGCAGCCACCCCGGTCATTTATACACAGCCTGTGACGGCTTTTGTGCTACTGTGGCAGAGCTGAGTAGCTGCACAGGAGCCTGGGAAGCCTCAAATATTTGCTCTCTGGCTCTTTACAGGAAAAGTTGGCTGACACATCCATCCAGTGACACATAATCCTGTCTGCCACTTTGCATAAAGCTCACACCAGACCTGGCTCTTGTGTGGGACCTTAACTTCCTGTCACCAGATCCTAAATTCCTTGTCCAAAATTCCAGACTCCAAGCCCTCTCAGTTTATACATCTTAGACTCATAAGAAGACCAGCAGAGTCAAGAGAGCTTTTAAAAAGGCTGTCTTTGATGATTTCACTCTCCTTTTTTATTTTTATAGCTCCAAATGAAAAAATGAAACAAGTTATAAAGAAGACTATAGAAGAAGCCAAAGCAATAATATCTAAGGTCAGCTTTTTAAATGATGCTCTTGAAAGCTTGTCTTTTAAAATATTAAATCATGGCTGTCAGAATTAACTGTCAGCCAGCCTTTTTTTATGTTTTCTTCTTTCTTTTCTGTTTTTTCTTTTCTTGTCTTTTCTTCCCTCCCAGAAGCAAAAGAAGAGAGCATATTTAAGGTAGACCTTGGCTTTCCTTCTGTGGCTGTTGTCCTACCAAGCAGACAAAAGTTTTTGTTGACTTGTGCAAATGTAGGTACAGATGTCTTGTATGAGGTATGATCAGAAATATGGGGAATGCTGTTGCTGCTTGCAGTCCCGTATAAAGTTGGACACATAAAACATGGTGGGCCTCACTCACCTTACTCACTGCATCTGGCACTGTGTGGCTTTCAAAATCACCACAGAAGGTAAACATTTTCAATTGATTCAGGACATTCAGGGGGCTGTAAGAGCCCAACTAAAGATACAAAAGAAGAGTGCTTCAGAAAGTGGCACCAGTGATGGGATGAGTGTGCTCAGAGTAGGGATTGTGCTTTGAGGGGGATGAACGGAACTGTGTCTTTTATTGTGATTGTTTTTAATATAAACATTAGCTGCATTTTTGATCACATCATAAGTTAGTCTTTTGTAAATTGTGAGAAGTGTTTGTCTAAAAACTATTTTACAGCAGAAAAACATAAATATCATTGAGAACTTCAGGATATGTGAAGAACTGATGTTTCTGCCTGTTAGATTTACCCATGGATGGACGGTGTCAGTGGCCACCACCCCACTTTGCAGTCCTCTGGGTGTAGCTGCTGTTTCTTTATTCCTCCTGACTTCTTTGGCAAAGCTGAATTTTCCTCAGACTCTCAGTTCTTATTTAATGCATGAAGAGCACCAGGAAAGGCTGTTGAAGTCTTGTTGGAAAGAACTCGGCACCCCCCAACATTTGCCAAGTGTGTTTGGCCCAAGAACCTTTTGCAGGAAAGCCTCAACGGTAGCTGCCAGCCTTTCTTCCGGTCAGCACAGCTCAGGCCACGGGCCAGGCCTGGACATGGCTCTGCCTGCTTTGCTCCACACATTTTTTCTGTAGAAATCCTTCTTCCCCTTTCTTCCCTTCGCCTGTGTGTTCATTGGGGTACTTTGTCCTTGACCCTTTCTCCCCTTCGCATTTTTCTCTCCTCTTCCAGCTGCTGATTCCACCCTCCGCAGGCGACTCTCACACTTCTGTCCTGTACTCGCGATGTCTTCCCTCTCTCACAACCCAAATGTCCCTCTAGTGCTCCTATGTCAGCCAGAAACGGAAGCTCTCTAGACCTAAAGTTCTTGTTTCCCTAACTCCTCTCTGTCTGCATTCTGTACCTGTTAATAATCCTGTCCTGCAGGCGCCACTGTTTGTACTAACAGAACCACCATGGCCTGGTCAGAGGGCATAATCCTAGGTCACCTTCAGCACTTCCCTGTCACCTATGTCTTAAGTCCAGCTCTGTACGGTCCACTCCCAACATGCCTCTTAAGCCCCTCTCCTCCTTTCATTTTCACAGTTGTCATTTTATTTAAAGCTCCCCTGCCAGCCTTTTGCTTTCCAACATAATGGTTTTCCTGTAGTTCTGTTCAGTTCTGACCCTAATGACCTACAGTTAGCAAAAACCCCACAAGTTAAGGGCAAAGCTCTTCCATTCTGACACTTAACTACCTGGAGTTACTGTCAGATCGCACAGTTCGATGGCAGAGTCACCAGCAAGGCCACTCCCAACTTCAGCAACCAGCTCCAGAGAGGATCTCCTGACTATCCACACTTCTGCCCAATCTGGCTATAAATGTGTGGCTCCCTGTGCCCTCCTCTCTGGTTCAGTAATTTATTAGAATGACTAAAAAAAGTTGCTGAAACCTTGCGATACTCAAGGTAGTGGATTTATTATAAGGGTTGCAGCTTAGAAACAGCCAGATGGAAGAGATGTGCAGGGTAACATCAGGAAAGAAAGGGAATACAGAGCCCCTGTGCCCTCTCCTTGGAATCCACAGGTGCCACCCAGCCAGGAAGTTCCACCGAGCCTTCATGCCTAAAATGTTTTTGATCATTTTGTTAGGTAGGTGTTATTAAATTATATCAGCCACATGACAGCTGAATCTCTCACTGCCCCCCCGCCCCAGAGGCTAATCCTCAGAGTGAGGCTGAAAGTTCCGACTCTCATCATGTCTTCCTGGCATGGCCAGCCTTTTCCTTGAAACCATTTGCCATAGTCCCGTTTCTCTGTTGCTGTAACAAGACACCAGCCACTCATTATTTTATTTAAAAAGAGAGATTTATTTAACTCACATATCTCAAGGCTGAAAATCCAAGATCAAATGGTTCCCTGTGTCTGGCCTGTGGTGAGGACTCCAGGGAACATCACAGCATGACTGAGAAGACTGCAAAGGGGGCCACTGCAGTGGGGGAGCCCCGCTGTAGAGCCACTTACTCTCACAAGAGCTAATGAGTGTCCCACGAGAACATCAAGGGTGGTGCTCGATGGCTTGATCACCTCCCACTAACACACTCTTAAAGGTTCTCCCAGCTCTCAGCACTGCTGCACGAGGGCCCGGGTTTCCAGTCCTTATCGTGGATTGTGTTGTTAGCACAAACTCAGGTATGGTGAAAGGGGCTTGTTATAAATAGCAAAAGATATTCCTGTCCCTCAGTGATGCCAGTGGTTTGTGAAGCTCTGTGCGAGATGCCAGGGAAAAGACCAGATATATTCTTTATTATAGCACACCTTTGAAATCTGCAGGGCCTCCCAGCTGTTCTTCCTCCACCTAGCTCTGCTCTATACCCACTGCAAGATTTTTTTTTTTTGTTTGTTTGTTTGTTTTTTTGTCTTTTTCATTTTTATCGGTACTGGGGATCGAACTCACGACCGCCTGCTTGCAAGGCAGGTGCTTATGCCGCTGAGCTAAACCCCCAGCCCCTACCCACTGCAAGATTAATGTCACAGCTTCATCACTGCTTCTCAGAAAAGCCAGCTGCTCCCTAGCACCTAACAGTAAACACAGACTCCAGCCTGGCTTCCACACACCACTAGATAAACATTCCACCTGCCCCGGGCTGGTCCGCTCCTGCCCACCTTCAGCAGAGCAGAGGGCCAGGACCTGCTCTTCCATGTCTCTGCTCGCCCCGAAGCGTGCTGCATCTGTCTCTATCTTTCCCATTTCTTTGCGTTCAAGGCTCACTGAGCTGGTTTCTCCCTCTGTAGCATTTCCTTGTCTTCCCCAACCTGTGCTGCTAGATTTGGGTCTTTGTTCACCCACAGCACCCCTCATGCTGCTCAGAATCTGCTTGATGACCCAGTCCATGGGGTACTTGACTCAGTCCTTAAAGTAGACAGCAGTCACTTTGGGACCAAGAACTATGTGATTCCTTTTTGTTACTCTGATGTATCAGGCAAGTCTTTTGCAAGAACTTGGTCAACACTCATTCAAAGGATTGCCTACTTTGTAGACAATGGCATCTCATCCACTTTCAGAAACAAGTGGAAGCCAGCGTCTGTGTTACTATGGAGATGGTGAAAGATGCCTTGGACCAGCTTCGAGGTGCAGTGATGATTGTTTATCCCATGGGGTTACCACCTTATGATCCCATCCAGATGGAATTTGAAGATAAAGAAGATCTGTCAGGAACTCAGGTATGTGTGAGAGTGAGTTCCCAAAGCCCTTCAGGTTTGATTCCTCTTAAGGCTGTAGTTCTTACATCACACAGCTTTCCTTGCCATTCCATGCTTCAAAGCAGAACTCTGAATCAGGAGAGGACTGCGAGGGTGGCACACATGGCTGGAAGATTTGGCCTACTTGTAGAGAGGCAGGAGAAAGTGTGTTAGGTTGCCTGTGTAGTAGTAAAACACATTTTTTTCTTTGGTTGCTAGGAAACCAGGAGCCTGATTTGTGCCCAACTGTATTGGCCCCTGTCTTAATCTCTTCCCCATCACTGAGATTCAATACCCGACACACACAACTTAAAAGAGAGATTGATTTTGATTCATGGTTTCAGTCCATAGTTGTGTGGCTCCAAGGCAGAAAGGATAGCAACAGAGCACAGCAAAGAAAAAGGCTCAACCCGTGGCAGCCAGAAAGCAGAGAAATGAGGCAGGGATAAGAATACATCCTTCCAAGCCGCCTGCAATCCTGTGATCCACCTCCACCCTGGTCCCCACCTCCAAACAGCAAGGCAGGTGTGGTACCCTCATATCCAGTCACCTTCCAAACAAATGAGACATTTAGAGGACATTTTAGATTTAAACCAAAACATTCTGCCCCAGCGCTAAAAGACTCATGTCTCATTCATTATGCAAAATGCATTTAGTCCGTCTCTGAGAGTCATCGTAATCTTAGCAGTACCAGCTTTGCTGAAAAGTGCAAGTCTCCTCTGAGATGCAAGGCAGACTCTTAGCTGTGAGCCAGTGTAACAGTCAGAAAGTTAAGTATTTCCAACGTACAGTGTCATGGGATAAACATTTGTCCATTCTAAAAGAGAAGAATAGGGAATGGAAAGCAGTGGGACGGAAGCAAGACTGAAACCTAGCAGGATAGACAGTAGATCCTATCACTGCACCACCAGCAGCTGAGGCGGTTATGGTAAGAGGAGAGCTCCAAAGGGCTTGTGCTTCTCTGCCCCTACAGCCCTGGCAGTTGCAGCCCTCATGGCCTCCCTCTCATAGGGGCTCTGCTCACTGCCTGTAGCTTTCCTCAAATGATCCTTGTTCCTGCCATCTCCCAACTTCTGGCATCTCCCCTGCACCTTGTGCTTCACTCATGGCTTCATGCACTGCCCTCTAGGAACACTGCCTGGCCTCTCTGGCCTTCTGGAATTGGGGTAGAAGCTTCCATGATCCTGTAACTTGTATTTTGCATGCCTGTAAAACCAACACCACATGAGTGACACCAGTGTCTGCTACCAGCTTAGGCAGTAGCCAGGCATCCTTGCATTATGGCTATAGGGGCCTCTGAGTTTCTGAATTACTGAGTACTTGGAAGTGAATCGAAGGGAACCAGCTCCCTCGGCAGCCCTTCTCCAATAGCTTCCAGCTCTTCTCAAATGAAAGCCTATGGGTTTGGACCTTTGAGCCTGCGAATTCCTGAGATACCTTCAAGATGTCTTTCCTGTTGCCCTGATGTATTTAGCTTCTTTTAGTTCTAATCTTTTCAGCAGCCATGCTCTCCTGTGTATCAGCTTTGTATGTAATTCCCTTCTGATGAAACTAGAGACTTTCACACATGCTTTTTGCTCTCCATTTTCACTGTAGACATGGCTAAAAGTACTCATCAATACCTGCACCAAAGTCTGAACACTGGACTGCTTTAAAATTTCTTCCATCAGAATAATTTGTCCACCACCCTTAATCTTAGTCTTTTTTTTTCTTTTTATTTAAGGAGAATAACAGAAAAAGGATACAAGTAATACAAAATTTAAAAAATAAACAGTAAAAAATCACTAGTTAATAGATTACGTATTCTCATCTTAGAAATAGTTGTTCAAGTTACAAATTTGAAGCACTTTCAAACGGTGAGAGTGCGAACAGTTTTGTTCATTGATCCAAAAAACACTTAGTAATATGGTTATCTATTTTACACACTTAAACATATATGCAGTTATAACCTTTAGAGCACTTTCTTTTCTTTTCTTTTGTACAATGACAATTACACATTTTGGGTTTTATTACTCCCACAGTTCTTATTACTTTTTTTGAAGAGAGTAAAACCAAATGCAACATATCAGAACAGAGTCAGTCAAATCAAAAGGATGGACATAATAGATAATGTAAAAACAAAATATAAGGTGATCAACAATGGTTACCATACTGCCTCTTGCTATTTTAAGAAGAATTGACAGTTATAATAAAATTGAACTAAACAGTAAAGAATAAAACCAAAGCACTAGAGACATTACAGGATTTTAAAAGAAAATAATAGTCAACCGGAATGGGCGTCATAATGATTCTTATTATCTTCACAGTTATGCCTATACTTTCGAACTTGGTACTATCAAGCAAAGCAGAATAGAGGAAAATCAGTTAAAACAAGATAGTGAGGGCAATACAGGATTTCAAATCAAGTTAATAGGAAATCAAAGTAGGTTACTATAATGTATCCTGCTATTTTTTATTTATTTTTCCCTTAATTAAAAAAATAAAAAGAAAAAAGTAATTTTTAAAAAGTGGGATTGAGATGAAAGAGGGCATAACAACAGAACAGCACAGGTCAAATCATAACTATTTAAGCAAAATAGTGTTTCACCACAAGATATCCTGACATAGAAATAGTTACTATAGTGTCTCTTTCCTTGAAATCTTTGAGTATAACTTCTTATACTGTAGCACCAAACATTTCAAGACACTATAAAACCATTCAAGAGGATGACATTATTACAGGGTATTTAGAACTAATTGACAGAAAATGAACAGTGGTTTCTATATGAACTCCTTGTCTATAAAAGTTTTTGCTTATATTATCATATATAATAAAATCCAATAAGATACAACCTTTTAAGACCAATGGAGACAGAAAAATACACGTTTGATGGGACTTCTAAACAAGATGATACTAAATCAGCATTAGCTATTATGATGTCTTGTTTTCTCCAAAATTGCTGTTCCTACCTTCCGATCCTCTCTGCCTCATTTCTGTTGAGCTCTTTTTCTGTCGTTTGCTGTCAGTTTGTCTTCTCCATTTCGTTTTCTGCTCCATTCATTGTGGCCTCTCTGCCACTATTTCTGGAATCTTGGTATTTTCCTTTTTTAGACTATCCTGAAGTATTCTCTGTAGAGTTGAATTAGTGGTTGTAAATTCCCCTAGTTCTTCTTTATCTTGGAAGCACCTTGTTTTTCCATCAATTTCTAGGGAAAGTTGTGCAGGATATATCAATCTTGGCTGGAGGTTATTATCTTTCAAAGCTTGAATTATTTCCCCCCATAATCTTCGTGATTTGATGGTTTGTGCCGAGAAGTCTGCTGTAATTCTGATGGGTGTTCCCTTGTAAGTGATCTGTTTCTTGTCTCTGATGGCATTTAATATTCTGTTCTTATATTGGATTTCTGGAATTTTGATTATTATATGCCTGGGTGTAGCTCTGTTTGGGTTGTAGGTAGCTGGAGTCCTATATGCCTCATATATCTGAGTATCTTTACCATTTGCCAGATTAGGGAAATTCTCTTGGATGATTTCTGTGAATAGCTTTTGTAGTCCATTTGTTTGTATTGCCACTTCTTCTCTTATGTTCTTAATTCTTAAGTTATAGATCCTCTTATCATCTTCTAGTTTTTGTATTGTTGCTGTTTGTTTTTTTGTTATTTGTAAGTTTTTCATTTCATTCTCCCATATTACAATTCTGCCTCCAGTTCAGATAATCTGTCTTTAGTTTCTTTCAAACTATTATGCCAGTTTTCGATAGAATTTTTAGTTTCCTGGTAATCTCTTTGAACCTGCTTTATGTATTCTATGTTTTCTCTGTCTTCTCCATGAAACAATTCTCCCTCTTTTTTTTTGTTCTTCCATTCCACCATCTGTTTTTTCTTGGGTGGTGCTTAGCGTTTCTCTAACTGTTCTGCTTATGTCTTGCTTCAGGTCATTAATAACTTCATTCCTGAACTCGTCTATGAAGCTCTGGAGATAGCTCTTTGTGTTTATTGGTGCCGTGTCTACTATTGCATGTTTCTCTGGATTGGGGGGCGAGGACCCTTTCTTGTTGCTCCCTCTTCCCATATTCTTTTTTCCTTATATTTAAGCGTGTATAGGAGGCCCAGCTTCCTTCCCTGTTGGCCACAGACTGTTTGAATTGCCGGCTAGGTGTTCCCGCCCACCACAGCGGCACCAGGGAAACACAGACCTGGGTAGCCTATGGTGGGCCCGCCCCTCCAGGTCAACCTACCGCAAGCTTCACCGCTAGGGTGCACCTCTAGGCGCTGGGACCTGGATTGAGCTCGCCTCTGGGTCTCAGCCAGCAGCATCTAACAGGCCAGGCACTCCCCACCAATCCCGCTTGAGAGGGGGATATGTGACTGAAGTCACTGCAGCTTCTTGTTCCGGGTAGTCTGCCCGGTCTGAGTATGTCCTCCACTGAAGCCTCCTTCTGTATGGAAGGGTCGCAGTTGGCTCACTCACCGTGGGTTGATGCAGGGCACCTGGCCAGTCCTGCTCCGAACTTCTTTCAACACTTTCCACTTTCCAAGCTTTCGCGCCTCTCTCCCCGCGATGTGCCGACCGGGATGCAACAACAGCTGCAGATAATTCAAATCGCAGTTTCCAGTGGCATGGGTCTGGCTTCCGTGCTGAGACCTTATCTGTGCCTGCTATATCACCAGGATTGTGTTTCCAGATGGTTTCGCTTAATTTAATTCGTTCCTGGGTCAGCAAAGAATATCCCACCTTGCCTGGGACTTCCTGCCCCCACCATTCTTAGATTTCAAGTGTGGTTTCTCAGAGAGCCTCAGAGGCTGCTGCTATCTATCCGCCATGTTCTTCCTAAGTTCTAATCTTAGTCTTCTACAGAGTCTCAGGATGTGAGCAAAATGAAGACAAATTCTCTGCCATGATGAAACACACATAGCCTGTAGTCTGGCTGTCAGGGAGGGGTTCCTTGTTCCCAAAGGTCCTGAGCCAGATTATTGTCTGAATTTCTGTGAAATTCATCCTTCTCTTCTAAGCTCAGATCAGAATTTCCCATCAATCTCAGCTCACTGCATCCTAGGGCTTCACTAGCTGACATCTCCAAACCTTTCCCAACTCCTCCCAGAAGCCAGTTCCAAAGGCTTCTGAGTCACATGATCAGGTGTATTCATAGCCGTGACTCAGTACCAAAATCTATCTCAGTCACTCTCCCATGCTGGAATATAATACTCAACATCTACAAGGAGAGGTTTACATTGGCTTATGGTTTTTGCCCAGGGTCAGCTGGCTCCAGGGCAGTAGGATGGCAGAAGAAAAGGTGCTGAACCCATGACCACCAGGAAGCAGAAGTGAGGAGCGAGGGACACAAATGCAGCCGTCCAGTTCACACTGCTTGTGACCTACCTCCTAGTGCCCCATGGTCCAGTCACCTTACATAAGATGTCTGGGGGACACTTTAGATCCAAACTGTAACAGCCCCCTTGCATGGAATTTTGTGTTCCAGTCTCACCCTGGCCTTCGATTTTTTTCCATTGGTTCCTGTGCTTCTGGGCAGCATATATTTCTCTCTCTCTTTTTTTTTAATCAGTAATGGGGATCGAACTCACAACTGCGCACTTGCAAGGCAGGCGCTTATGCCGCTGAGCTAAATTCCCAGCCCTTAGCGTATATTGCCACCTTGAGTAGCTGGACTGTGTGGCACCAGTCAGCCCCAAGACACCTCCAATCCCACACGCAGCAGGTTTCCAGTGCTCTCTATGGTGTCACCCCCAAATCAACCCAAGGGACCGTATATTATGGATAAGGATACAGATGAGATAGAATGCTCTCCATCCCCCCAGGCAAGAGAAGTTAACTGAGTCTGTGCTCCAGATATGAGCTGAAAGGAACAGGAACAATACTGAAAATGGCAAAGGCTTTGAGAGGGACAAGGAATAGAGAGGGGCACAAAAGGGAAACAGAGATACCCGAAGCCTGTCCCCTGCTAGAAATTCCACCAGCCTGCTCTGAGACTGCCATTCTTGTCATCCCCGAAGTCAGTGCTTCTGCTCGATCCCAGGCAGGACTCAGCGTCATTAAAGAATCAGAGGCACAGCTGTGGTGGGCAGCCAAGGAGTTAAGAAGAACCAAGAAGCTCTCAGACTACGTGGGGAAGAATGAAAAAACCAAAATCATTGTCAAGATTCAGCAAGTAAGTGTTTTTCCTTCACATGGTAGTGCTTTTTGTTTGGTTGCTTGGTTTTGCAGTATTGGGGGGCAGAAGGAGAACGAGGGCTTGAGTATGCTGGGTCTAGTTATCTAGCACGGAGGCACCCCCAGCCCCTACATGTCTGTATTTTAATCTGCAACCCAATAAACATTTACAGTGAATGTGAATGCTTTAAACTACCTATGCCAGTACTTTAATGCTGTTGGCTCAGACTTACAGTAAAACTGTCCTCTCTGTGCACAAACAAAAACTGGAAGAAAATATGGTTTGATGAGCAATACCTGGAATTTTAAAAATTCATTAACAGAACTTGTCATGTTCATTTCAGTATAAGTAACAGAGTTGTGAGTAAATAGAAATAGTTTTTTAAAGTGAAAAATACAGCGCAGAGCCCTCATTTGAAGTTTTTCACACTGTTAGTGCTCCACCAGTGAGGAAGAAGGGCTAGAGGCCGCTCAAGGCCGTGATGTGGGACTTCCTCCCTGCAAGGCTGCCCTGGTTTATGGGCGTTCCTCAGTCATTACTGGGTAATTTGGGGGACCAGGGCATAATCCAACTGCCTGTCTCCAGAGCCTGTGGTGTTGAGTGTCCTCCTGCCCCCACCAGTCCTGTCGTGGCTGCCTTGGGAATGGCCATGACAGAGGTGGCGCCTTGCAACCTGTGGCCTTCATCCATTTGACATCCAGAGAAAGGGCCCTGCTCAAGTTTGAGGTCCCCCTGATAAGTGCTTGGGATCACCTTGTCATTAGCTGTGGGTGACCCAGCTGTCTTTAGTAGCCAGCCAGAGATAGTCATGAAACTGCTACGGTAACTTCTTGCAAGAGTGCCTCAACCCATCGTTTGCTGTCTTTGCAGCGGGGACAGGGAGCACCAGCCCGAGAGCCTATCATCAGCAGCGAGGAGCAGAAGCAGCTGATGCTGTATTACCACCGGAGACAGGAGGAGCTCAAGGTAGCTCTCGGATGAAGCGCCCCCCCCCCCCCCAGTGTGTACCCCACGCCGCACCCCAGGGCTGGGAATGGAGCAGAGGGGTGGGCGGGCATTCTGCGGAGCTTCCCGGAGCCTCCCACCTCTGGCCATCCCCAGAGTGGCTGGTATTGCCCTGCTCCAGGAGCTCAGGGAAGGGTGCTTGGCCATACCTAACACCTTCCTAAAATGCTTCCTGAGGAAAACATTTGTTTCCAGAAACTGGAAGAAAACGATGACGATGACTCCTGTCTGAACTCTCCATGGGCAGACAACACTGCTCTGAAGCGACATTTTCATGGAGTAAAAGACATAAAGTGGAGACCAAGATGAACCGGCTGACCAAAATTTCAGAGCTCCTAGGACACTTTTCCTGTCCTCAAAACGTTAAAGTTGTTAGGAGGGCGGGCAGGGGGACACATCAGCACCCTCTGCAAGAGATGTGGAGATTTCTATGTTCCTAGTTTTCTTTTGGTTTGACTTTTTAAACAAGTTATTCACTGTTTTAGGATTTAGTAAATAATATCCTCCAAAGAAAATGCCTAAATTATTTTTGTTTTAGGATGGCTATGTAGTATCTCAAGGTTTTCCTTGATAAAATATTAAAGTTAATTACAACCTTTTTTTTCTTCTTGATTTCTTTTATATGTTTCACAGCAAGTGCGGTGTGGGCAGAAGGCTGCGCGCCCTCTTCCTACAGTCCGCTGCCTGATGTGGAGCTACACTGTCAGCGGCCGCTAGAGGCCGCCAGCTGCGCACTGTCCTGCGCTTTCCTTCTCCCGTTAGCTGAGTTAAAAGAAGCTAAACGCTCCCCCGTGTTTGCGAGATGTGGGCAGCCACAGTTCAGGTCTGACTGCAGCCAGACAGCTGCCAGCCTTCAAGATGGAGTTCACCTCCGGGTTGAAGCTTCTCTCCTTGCCTGTCGGGAAGTCCACCTCTGGTGGGAGTTGGTAGCCATGTTGGTCTGACTCCTTGGGAACAGATTCTGCAATAGTTTCTCAGCCTTTTAAGTCTCATCGTCAGTAGATCCTGAAAACTGGGCCCTGGCAAAGGGCAGCTGTTGGTGCACTGGGTTTTGCATCCCTCGGAATTGCTGGCATTGGGCGTAGGCAGTGACCATCCATTGACACGAGTCACCCATCACCCTGCCATCATCCGAGGATCTTCAGCACTGCAGCACGTGCCCTCAGACCGTGTTGCCGCCCATGAAACCTGGTGCTTCTGCAGGTGAAGTCCCAGCAAGCTGCCTGCCAAAGCCAGACTCGGCCTGGAACTTCCTCTTGCTCACCTTTTGGCTACAGGAAGTGGTGTGCTCACCCTGAGGGAAAGGGGTGCGTGGGTATTTCCCTGCACATCTCTAGCCCAAGCGCCCCACCTTAGCCACTGGAACAAGTGCAGGCTGCCCGAGGTCAGCATGTCCCATCTCTTCCTGTCGTGCAGGTGGTGGGGACCGACATTTGCCCCCTCTCTTGGGCTCCATGGGGCAGAATGGGTAAAATTAACACAACGGTAAGACTTGCCGAGCCTGGGCTTCTAGCAGAGGCTGTAGCAGAAGTGAGCCCGATCCTATGCTAGAGGCTTCTCCCAGATCCTTTGGCCACTTACCCTTCCTTGCCCCTCCTTTCCAAATTGCTGAGTTTCTCGGAATAGCTTTTCCAGAACTGGTTGCCGTAGTGTTTTCTAAAGTGGGTTCTAGCTGGCTATGCATAGTTTATGTCTCACTTTTTGAACTGGTTACCTTTTTTTTTTTTTGGTGGTACTGGGGGTTGAACTCAGGGCCTTATGCATGGTAGGCAAGCACTGTACCACTGAGGTACATTCCCAGCCCTGGTTGAAAATTTTTATAAAGCAAATTTGCATGAATCTTCTCTTTTACTTGGGTAATAACTAAATGTCACCTTGAAAAAGTTTTGGACTCAGATAACATAAAGTATACTATACAAACCTCTGGTTTTATTTGAGGTGTATTCTAACTTTGTCAGCGTATGTGCCTAAGAGTCATGCTCAGGCGTGCAAAAAAAAGATGAGCACAGGTGACAACTGTGCGTCTTTTGTAGACTCGCCACTTCCATGTCATTAGGAATTCACAGTGAGGGCTGGGGATTTAGCTCAGTGGCATAAGCTCCTGCCTTGCAAGCAGGCAGTCGTGAGTTCGATCCCTGGTACCGGTAAAAAGGAAAAAGACAAAAAAAGGAATTCACAGTGACTCAGTTCAAGTGGCCACTACAGTTACTCTGTTGCTCTGTATAATCGGTGGATCTTAATAACTGGAATCGCTGACTTCTGAGCAAAGAACTGTGTAGAGTTCTGGTATCACATTCCACTCCTTTACGGAGCACCACAATTCCCTGATCCCTGTCTCTGTCTTTGTCTGCCGCAAAATCCCCTGAGCTTCAGAGGCAGGTGCTCCCTGGGCTGTAAGAATGCTAGCAGAACCTTCTAAGGCACCTGTGAAGAACCACAGAGATGCAGAGATGGTGCTGTTCTGCTCACCCTGCTGGGTGTGAATTCACTTTGCAGCCATCTCTGACTATTCCAGGTCATGTGACTTGGGATGGGACTGCTGGAGGTCATGCCCAGGACTTCTAAGAGGTCAGCCCATCAGCAAAAGTCAGCTTGCCACTCACAGACTGTCAGCTCAAGTATATGGTCTTGGTAGTTATTTTGTTTGTTCATTTTAATCTTGTGTCTCTAGGTCAATATCCAGAGAAAGTGAATTGGCTGTTATGAGGTGGGGGTTTGAGATTTGGTCCTTTGACCTGACTTGCCCTCTAATTTGGTTGTTTTGTGGAGCCTAAGAATGTCAAGTCCAAAAATTTGATACCATCTAAAATGCTTTCGACTAACACTGACAGCATTGAATAGGATTTCTGTCCCACTATTACTTGGCAACTGTGATGCAAAGAATGTGCCATCAACCTTGAAATTAAGCGCCACACCTTGTGAGCTCAGAAGCCTGGGAGTAGGGAGTCCGAGGCCCCTCAGAATTCCTATCCCAGGCCTCAGCAACTGCCCTGTCAGAGGGCCATGAGAGAGGTCGAGGTCGCTGGCCCCTTTGTCACAAGACCCTGGGAGGTGCTGACACACATTGTTGCTGAGTCCAAGGAGAGATGTGGCCGCTTCCCTGGCAAAGCTCGACCTTACCTGCAAGACCTTACTGTTCCCCAGACAAGCCCTAAGACCTCTGTAGCCAAATACGGAAGAAACTAGGATTGTCATCACTTCACAAGTGAGGAAAACAAGGTTAAATTGCCCATGGCGAAGCCTCAGAGCCTGCTGTGAGCTGTCTGCTTCTGCTCACACCTAACACAGACACCTGACCCACAGCTGGTGAGGGGCACAGAGCACACATCCCTGGATCTGTGGATCACATGAGCTCCAATCCCGGCAGCCTCCCCAGAGTGGCAGAGTGAGTGCCTGGGCCAACAACGCTGCGATTGTGGGTTCTAAGAGCCCCCTTCAGTGTGTGCCTTAGTGCACTGTGACTGGACTGCCGTAGCAGCTGCCACAGGCAGCCTTCTACAAGCTGGGCGTTTACTTCTCAGTTCTAGAGACTGGGAGCCCAAGATCAAGGTGCCGGCCACACAGACTTGGTGTCTGGTGGGGGGAAGCTTCCTGCTTCAGAGACAGCTATCTTTTTCTCTGTCCTCACATGGCAGAAGGGATAAGGGAGCTTTCTCAGGCCTCTTTTGTAAGGGCACTAATCTCATTTATGAAAGCTCAACTCTCCTGACCAACTCACCCCCCAGTGCCCCACCTGCTAATCCCTCACCTTGGAGGTTAGATTTCAACATAAGAATGAGGGACCCAAATACAGAGTCTACAGCAGCTCCCCCTGCACTGCAAGAAGAACCCCATGCCTCCACCCCTGCCTTGCAGATGCTTAAGCAAAATCAACACTGGATTCAACCCTAAACACCCCAAAAAGGTGAAAGAACGTGTCTGGGATTTTCTGGCCATCGCAGGCAGGTCATGGGATTCCAGGTCACTCCAGCATGCCTCAGAGGTCAGTGGATGGACAGATTCCCAGACTAAGCCCTGCCTGCCATTACTCCTTAGATAGAAGGCTGTGACATTTGGATGCAGGACACAGCAGCTGTGGCTGTCTTGCTAATCCGGTAATGAGACAGCATCCTCCTGAAATGCAGGGTGCAGAGCGCCAAGATGCCGATTTGGAGCTTTGTAACCAAATATTTGATCCTATAGCTAGCTCTATCCAGGGGCAGCAGTGTAACCACTGCTTTGTCACCGTATGTCTCTGTCTCTGTCTTATGTGGACATGGGTGTGGGTGGGTGTGGTACTGGAGCCTGAACTCAGAGCTTTCACACTGAGCTGCGACCCCAGCCGTTTTATTTTGAAACAGGGTTTCACTAAGTTGCCCAGCAAACTTTCAATGTTCTTCCCTCAGCCTTGCAGAGTGCTGGGATTTCAGGCACGCACCACCACAACAGGTTTAATCCTCTTCTGGATGCATCTGCAATACCAACTCAAGTGACTTAAACATATTCTAGATTTTCCCTTGGCTCTTTGTGACATGCCAGTGTGCTCTGATGACCTAGTGGGTGCAAGTCTGAGGACCATGACTGTGCACTTGGTCCTCCATTACAGTACCAAAAAGGATGAAGGCCTGCATGAGCCACATGGGGTCTATCTGTGGGCTCCCCCACCTCCTTCCCTGCCTGCTGGTGGCCCCTGTCCCCTGTTAAAAACAAAGCAGGCAGATACAATAGCAGCATTATTCTTGAGAGTTCTTATTTCTTGTTACCTTGTTTGCATGTTGCTGCAATGGATCTCATAGGCTCCGAGGAAAATATGAAATATGCTCAGAGCCCTTGTATAATGGCTGAGTCACTTGGATTACACAGGTCAAAGGAAGGGAGGTTCAAAACTAAGGGTGTTAACAGACAAAACCAGTGCCCCCAAACTGAATTCGACTACAAGACTCAAAATGAACTCAGTTCACCAGGACAGATAGATATCCAACCTTTTTCAAAACTGTTTCCAGCCCCTACAACTCATGGTGTAATTTTTTTTTTTTTTTTAAAGATCTCACTATGTAGTTCAGGCTGGCCTTGAACTTACCATGTAATCTAAGTTGGCCTCAAATTCATAGTGATCTTCCTGCTTCAGCCTCCTGAGTGCTGGGATTACAGGGGTGTGCTACCATGCCTGGTCACGACTGGCATTTCTACAGGTAGTTTGCACTCAACTGCAGAAGGAGTTGGAGCTCTTGATTTTTTCCTTTGGAAGTAAATTTGATTTCAGCAATTGGACACAGGAGTTTACTAGATGTATGTTAAAGGAACTCACAAGTTGGCAAGCACACGTAGAGAATAAATTTAATTTGACTCAAACTGTTCAACTGTATTGGAAAATTACTCATGCATGAGATGGAGGAAAAGGAAGGGAAACTTTGCCTGGGTTAAATTTTTGTAATGGGAAAGAGAATTTCAGAGTATGTGACCATCTCATTGTCTTATTCTTTTAAAAATAAGCTACTGTAGACTGAGCATAATTTGTATGTTGAAGTCCTAACCTTCAGGATTGGACTGAATTTGGCCCCAGGTTCTTTCAAGTGATTAAGGTTAACCTGAGGTCGTGAGGTTGGAGCTCTCCTCCAGTAAGACCAGCGTCCTCTTAAGAGAAAGAATCAGCTGGCTGTGGTGGCTCAAGCCTGTAATCCAGCTCTCTGGGAGGCTAAGGTAGAAGGATCACAAGTCTGAGGCAATTTAATGAGATCTGTTTGGGAAGTTTAGTGAGACTTTGTCTGTAAATAAAAAAGATCTGGGGATGTAGCTTAGTACCAAGGCCCTGGATTCAATCCCCAGTGCTGCCAAAGATTAAAAAAAAGAGGGGCAAAGGAAGCAAAAAGAAGAGTCGTCACAGGGACACACCGAAGAAAAGACCGCTTGAGGACACAGCAAGAAGCTGACCATTTTCAAACTAAAGTGAGAGAGAAATCACAGGAAACCCAAACCAGCCAGAGCTGCGATCCAGGACTTCTGGCTTCCAGAATCCTGAGAAAGTAAGTCTCCTGTCTGTGGTGTTTGTTAATGCAACCTTCACAGTCCAAGACCTCAGACTGAGGAGACAACATTTCTCCTTTCTTTAAAGTAGACCCCTTTCTTTAGAATGCCTCAGAACATTCCAACTAGTAAATATATCTATTTTGTTGTCGTTTGTTTGTTTTTCCTCAAAGAAGAAAACATCAGAACACAAATTTACTCCACATCAGGCTACCTTCCCAGTTTTTGCCCTACTCCCACACGCCTTGTTAAGCGGGGAGCCAGGTGAAGTCTCGGGCTCAGGTCCCCACTCCCCAGTTCCTCCGCAGCTGTTGACAGTCTGTCTCCTCGGATGGACCGGGATGCTGTGAGTGGCTGTTTCAGGTCCTGACTCTTTCTCCTCAGCTGTTTCACCACTCGACAGGCTTCCCAAAGAAGCCCAGGCAGCCTGCGCTAGGGACAAGTGAAAATACAGCGCCTCTGCCGTGCTTCCACTCACAAGGAAAGGCAGGACGGGGCTGGAGCTGGGGCGCTAATGCTGGGCCGGCCGGCAGCTTCTGGTCCCGACAGGTTTCTCTGATCCCACTTGCTGGGATCTTGGCTTTGCCTGAAGAATGCTGCTGCATCCCACGCGCTGCGAGCCACGGGGTTGCCCAGCGTGGTAGCACTGGCGGTGCACAATGGAGTGCCGCTCTGCAATCAGTGCGCGTCCTTGTCATAGTGCACTGAGGGCCCTGGAGGAAGTCCCCAGTGGAAGCAGTCTTTCAGGATGAGGGAAGCAATCCTCTGACATCCTGGGAGAGGAGTGTGGCAAAGTGCAGGAAACTGTCTTTACACAGAGCATGCTGTTATTGATCACTGATTTTTTAATTTTTAAGGAAAACATTTCAGGGGCCAGTGACATTGTAATGAACTGGTGCCACTCAGTTAACTGGGACTTATGCATTTATGGGCTGTTCCTGTTCCTGGAGGCCTTGATCTAGGACAGTGTTTTTCAAAAGGGCTATTGACATTTTCTTGAAAATGTCAAAGAGAAGAGACATGTCTCTTGGATTCTTCCTGCAGAGCCTGGGGAACTGGGGCATGTGTATGTCTACACCACTGCACCCCAAAACTGCATCCTGCACCTGGACAGAGTCTGGGGACCTGAGGTGCATGCTGACCCTTAGCTGACCCAGCAGAGTGCTTTTCTGTCCCACGTGTTGCAGTGCAACTGATCCTTTAGAAGAGTGATCTGCAACTTTTTGGCCACCAGGAGCCGCTTTTATGGAAGACAATTTTTTTTCCCCATAGACTGGGGTTAGGGGGCTGACACTGGGATGACTCAAGTGCAATACATTTATTGTGCACTTTGTTTCTATTTTTATTACCTTAGATTGTCCAGGAGCACAGAACTGATATCCCTGACAAGCACAGTTCATGGGGGTCGAGTTCCTATGAGAACTGAATGCATCCTCTGAATACACAGAGGTGGAGCTCAGGCAGCAAGCAAACATTAGTGAGCAGCTGCAAATACCGGTGACGCTTCGCTCACTGGCCTGCCCCTCACTGCCCGTTATACAGGTTGGTTCCTAAGGGCCATGGACTGGTACCTGTCTACCGCCCAGGAGTTGAGGACCTCTGCTTTAAACATTTTCTTGTCCTCTTGGCTCCTCTTCCTGTCATAATCCATTTTCTATTACTGTAACAAATGCCCGAGATCAAGTCATTTATTTATAAAGAATAGGAGTTTATGGAGCTCATGGTTCTAGAAGCTGGGAAGTCTGGAATATGATGCAACTTATGCCTGGCATCTAGGGAAGGACTTCAGACTACACTGCAACAGCAGAGCCATCACATGGTGAGGAAGAGCAAGCCTGCTTGCTTGAGTCTCTTCTTTTAAAGCCAACTAATGCCGTCACAGGGGCCCCATCCTTATGGGTAGTGACTTCACCTAGTCCTAATTACTTCCTAAATGTCCCTCTTCCAAATACTATCCATGTATAATCATGAGGTTGTATGAACTCTGAGGAGACACACTGAAACCACAGTGTACCCTCACTGGCCACACGCCCCTTTACAGGCCGGGGGGCCACTCTGGGCCCCTAGTAGAACCTGTAGCCTGTCGGTTCCTGCTGAGAGAGAGCAACTGTGACCCAGCAAGGCCCAGGGGCTACATTTGCTTTTTTTTGTTTTGTTTTTAATTTTAATTTTAAAAACAAAAAAATCAAAATGATGATACTGAATTTCAAAGCAAAATAATAGGAGATTAATACTGGTTAATATATTGCATATTGTTATCTTCAAAGTAATTGTTCAGATTACTAGATGTAGACATAAAAAATGACCAAACAAACTATGAAAGCACAAACTGTTCTTTTTGATGAACTAACAGAGATTAGTACAGTTATCAAAACTCTGTTAGTTTTTTTCTTCATTTTCTATTTCAAGGGCTTTTAGCTATAAAAATAATGTATAATAAATTTAGAAAATTTTGAAAGAGAAAAAGTAAATTAAAAACAATTCAAATTTCAACCTCCAGAGAGAGCTACTGTTAATGTTTTACAATGAAATTGACATGTCACAAAAATAAAAAAAAAATTATGATGAACCATAAGAACCTACCACTCAGCTTCAAAGTTTATCAGTTTTGCTAATGTTGTTTCGTGCATCTTCCCATTGCCTTCCCACAAAAGCCTTAAAGAAATTCCTAATCTGGGTTGGGAGATGTAGCTCAATAGTCGAGCACTTACTTAGCACCCCAGCACCACGAAAAAAGAGAGAAAGAAGACAGAGAAGAGGAGGAAGACGAAGGACATGAAGATGAAGAATAAATAATGAAAGGGAGAGAAACAGGGAGGGAGTGAGAGGGAGGCAGGGAGAGGAGTCCCCAGCTTCGCTTCACCCTACAGCAACACACTCGGGAAGTGTAACCTAAGGAGGATTGCTCAGCTGCACAAGACAGACTTGTCTTCTAGGTCTTCCTGCACCCCGGCCCGGCACTGACCTTCCTTCTTAAAATACGACACAGCAGAGTGACAATAACAAAACATGCAAATGCTCCCACTAGCAGCAGTTTCGTGTCCTTAACAACAAAGAACTTTGTATTACTGCATGTTTACAATGTAATATTTACATTCATCCTGGAGAGTTCACTGGTACAGTCACAAAACACGTCTCCATCATTTTCCATCCTCTCTACCCCATCATCTCCTCCTCCCTTTCCCTCATTCCCTTCCCCAATTCCACAAAGTCTGGCTTTATTTGACTTTTTATTTATATTTTGAGTTTTTCATACAAGAGAAACCATGTGATAGTTAACTTCCTGTGTCTGATTTACTTCATTTCATATTATAGTCTTGAGATGCATCCATTTTACTGCAAGTGTCGCGAATTCATCTTTTTTTATGGCCAAGTAAAATTCATAGCATATGTGTATATATATATATAAAATATCATTATATATACTAATGTAATTTTCTTTACCCATCCGTCAGTGAGCATCCAGGCTATTTCCAGAGCTTAGCTATTGTGAATTGTGCTCCTCTAAGCATGTATATGTGTGTCATGCTGTAGTATGAGATCTTTTAATCTTTTAGGGTACCCAGGCAAAGTATATCCGGTTGAAATGGAATCTTTGCTCTTAGTTTGTCAGGCACCACCATGCTTCTGTGGTCACTGTACTAATTCACCTTCCCACCAACAATAGAGAAGGGCGCTCTCCTCTCACATCTCCCCAGAATCTGTTGTTCTGAGCTTGTGATGAACTCACTGTTGTTTTAATTTGCATTTCCCTAATGGCTAAAGATGGTCAACATTTTTTCATGTGCTTAGCAGCCTTCTGTACTTTTGAAAAGAAAATCATGTGCCCATTTTTTATTGGGTTATTTATTTAGGGGGATTAGTTTCTTTGAGTTATTTGTATATTCTAGGTAATAGTTGTGTAATTAAAAGACTATTTTCCCCGCCATTCCGCACAGCTCAAAGCCCTCCAAACAAAGCGTGGAGTGACCCTGCAACATTTCTGTGTAAGTGATTTCTTCTTCTTCTTCTTCTTCTTCTTCTTCTTCTTCTTCTTCTTCTTCTTCTTCTTCTTCTTCTTCTTCTTCTTCTTTTTCTCTTTCTTCTTCTTCTTCTTCTTCTTCTTCTTCTTCTTCTTCTTCTTCTTCTTCTTCTTCTTCTTCTTCTTCTTCTTCTTCTTCTTCTTCTTCTTCTTCTTCTTCTTCTTCTTCTTCTTCTTTGTCTTCGTCTTCGTCTTCGTCTTCTCCTCCGTCTCCGTCTCTGTCTCCTTCTCTTTCTCCTTTCTTCCTCTTCTTCTCCTCCTTCTCCTCCTCCTCCTCCTCTTTCTCCTTCTATTTGTTCATTTCTGATACTAGAAAAGCAGGTGTAGTACCTGGAGGTCCAGCTGACACCTTGGGCCAAGAGATGACCTGGGAGCAAAAGTCACCTCTGTTAGAATAATAAGCTGGAAAGAGCCTGGGGCCTTGACATCCGAGCCACACACTCACAGGACCATGCTCACAGGACACTTATGTCTCTTCTTCTGTACTGGTTCCTTGCAGATGAATCCAGTCTAACCTGCCAGTGACACAGCCCACCAACCTCATCTTCCTCTTCCAGCACTGTGCCCTCTTCCTGCAGTGTGTAAGGATGAAAGGAACGGAGCCAAAGAACCAAGGTCAAGGGCTCTGGAAAACCAGGTTGTGACAGAGCCCATGTGTCCTCCAGAAGGGTGAGAGACCACTGCGCTTGTCTGCTTCCCGGAAGAAAATGAAGGAGCACCTCCAAGGATCTGCTGAGTTCCACTCTTAAGAAATGGGCTGAGGCCATGGCACCGGACTGGCAGATTAAAGTGCTCCTGAACCGACATCTCACTTGGCAAACTGCTCTCCTCCTCTGCTGACCATTTGGAAATGGTGAATTCAAACCGTTTAACACCATCCAATCTTCAATGCCAAGATGAGGAGGAGCAACCATGAACTAACTATTGAATGGGTGACTCCAAGCAAAGGGTAGGGACATAACTTCTTAAGCACAGAAAGCATATTTTTTTGAGACAGGGTCTCTCTATGCAGTTCAGACTGGCCTTGAGCTCACTTTGTAGCCCAGGCTGGTCTCAAACTTGCAAAGATCCTCCTGCCTCAGCCTCACAAGTGCTGGGATTACAGGCAGGAGCCACCATGCCCAGCTAGA